GCCCTGTTGCTGTTGTCCTTTGGCTGTGCAGGTTGTGTTTGTTCCACAATAAGGGGCGACCCAGGAATTTTACCTTCCTTTTGGCTTCCCTTGCAGACCATCCAAAAAGGGGGGACCGAAAGGCAATCCGTCTGGACATGTGTTTGGGATGTCCGGTATGCTCTGGATGAAACTTGGGTGTGTGTAAAAGTCGGGTGGCCCCTTTCAACCAATCCAAATAAGGGTACCTAGCAACTCCAAAAGAAGAGCAAGCCCTCTTGTTTTTTGTCGCCAACTAGGTGCTCACAGAGCTGCAAGCCGGCAATTTTGTAGTTATTGTAGACAGATGGGTAGTCTTTTGATCAGGGACCCCCGCAAAATGGGAGGTTTTCCTTGTGCTGTCCCCTGAAATCCCGCCAAAAAAAAGGGGGTCAGATGAACGCCGGTGGCTTCAAAGCTTGGTTCTGGTCATTTTGTGCCCGCACTTCGATCATCGCCACGGGGGGGCGACCCTTTTGCGGGACCGGCCCAAGGTGCTCCGCTGGGTATTCCGGCAGCGTCACCAAGACCTGCCAGTGGATGGAGGCCAGGGCTCGGATGTGTGGAGGGGAAGGCCATGGAGGGCTTTCTTGAAATATCCATGCTTTGCTGGGTGGCTCCCAGCCATCCGGTTCCTTAGCTGTTTGGCTTTTTGGTGTTTAGTGGTAGTTTCCATTTAGCCCACTAAAAGTTAAACTTTTAGCGGGGGATCTGAGGACAGCTCAGTTTAGATCAGTCAGAATTTGACATTCTATCTGAAACCCGTATCTAACGGATGTCTCTCTAAATAGGGCAGCCCAAACGCTTGGGCCTTTTCCTTTGGTTGCCATGAACAACCCCAAAAAGGGTACCAACGAAATTGTGAAGGGAAAACACAAACTAGCAGACGAGTGTCGGGCATTTCTTTGGGCGTCCACAAAGCGCATCTAAAGAGAAAAGCAGACGCTGGGTGCCTTTTGAGTCCCAAGTCACACTGCGACTTGTTCAATGTCTGCGCCTGCCGCTTCTTCGTTGGAAGCGTCTCTGTGCAAGTTCCGCAAGAGTGCTTTGCAGGTGTGCTGCAAAAGTTGCTCGGTGAAAGCTTGCTCCGTGCCAGTCTTTTACGACGTTGCTCCTTGTAAGTTGCTGTATGCAAGCGCTCTGTGCCAGTTGCTCTGTAAAAAGTCACTGCGCAAGTGTGGTGTGCAAATTGCTCAGTGAATGTTGCGGTGCGCAAGTGCTCTGTGCAAGTGCTTCGCAAAAGTTGCTCTGTGCATGTTGCTCTGTGCAAGCGCACTCATCTTGGAAGCGTAGATCTTGGCAAAGCTTGCCAAGTTCAAAGCCCAAATGCAGAAACCCCCAATCCGCCGAGAGGACCTATCTCAAAAACAAAAGTTTTGTGTACCTATTTGTTCGTTCAGGTCTGTGCGTAAGCTGCAGCCATGTTCATGTGGAACCAGCCCCGGTTACGTTGATCCAGTTAAAATGTTGACACACCCAACTGCTTAAGATCCGATTCCTTGGTCTTGGTTTCCTTTGCCCTTTGTCTTTGACTTACTCCAGGGTAGAACAGACACAATCAAAACCCGGGTAGATGAAGGTTAGCAAGGGACAATCCCAAACACAAATAGTTGCGGCCGCCTTCTTAAGTCTTTACGTGGTTCTATGTAGACCATTTTGATACCGGGTTTTATGATGACTCAGATGAGGTTTGGTGCTGCCCAAAGCTCCCGAGGACGCCTGCGAAGCGTACCCGGTGCTGAGCGGCTGCGTCCAGGAGCAGCCCTGCCGGCTGCCGGACATGGCGAACCCCTGCATGTGCCTTCGGTCAAGCAACAAAAATCGGTGGTTTGGTCCTGGTTTCCATATACTGGTCCCCCAGTAGTGCCCTTTTACCAACTTTTTTGGGTGAGGGGTTCCCCTACTAAAATAGACTACAGAAAAAAGAGTACCCTTATTCTAACCTCTCAAATTACTCAAGAACCTAGACATACCAAGGTGCCATTTGGGGTACCATTTTTTGAGCCACTGCCAAATAGCCATGGAATTGGTGGAGGTACCCGAACTAGATTCCCAGTGGTTGAATCGAGTTGATGAAACCTAAGTTTTTTGGACAAAAACATCAAACCTCTGCATACCCAACAATTGATTGTCTTCGACTAGAGCCAAACAAGGAATTTTCAGTGGTTCCCAATGACCATTAATTCAGACCACCAACTAGTGATTTTCCGTTTGGCAAATAAAGGGTGCATGGTTCCCGTTACCTAAAATGAGGCTACGGTAAGGGCATCCCTCCTCGTTTGTACGGTAAGGGCTTCGCGTGAAAAGGGGCCCATTCTGCCACTTTAGTATCGAAAGGCTGATGTTCCACTTGTTCTCATGGACCCTGACCGGGGGACCACAGGATTTAGTCTTTGGTTCCATTTACCAGGGTTCCATTTTGGGGTCCAAACCCTGAGGTTCGCCGAGGAATGAGCGTCAACAAACCACCAGCCAAGTCCCCATGTGTGTTTTGACCTGTTATTTACAGTACTTTCAGCACATGACACTGTAAGAGACCTCACACCACCTCAGTGACCGCGCGCGGGCTTACGCCGCGGAAGCTTCCGAGTCAATCTGCATGAAAGAAAGCGGTCGGGTTCAGTTGCAATGGACAGCACGCATCAAAACCCTACTGGAGCACAAGAATTCAACACAGGTCTCACACCAACAGCACCGCCCAAAACCTGCAGATTTGCCCTGTTTCTGCAGCGAAATCAGACATCAACAGTCTTCTATACTTTCCAGAGCGCCTGCATGAGCGCCTGACTGGGCAAATCCACTCCCATGCATTCTGGCGGTGCATTCTCAATGCAGCAAGTCTATTGCAACTGAGCCCGCCCTCTTTGATTCATGCAGATTGACGCGGACTTCCGCAGCGCAAGTCCGCGCGCGCAGTCACAGATATTATGAGGTCTCTTAGAGTCTCATATGCTGAAAGTACTGTAAATAGGTCAAACCACACATGGGGACTTGGCTGGTGGCTTGTTGCTGCCAATGCACGTTGGCGTTGGTATGTCAATGTTGACCCCTCCCCCCCCCACCCCCCCACCCCCCAAATTTCATTGGGTTCTCAGCTTGAGCTGTGATTAATGGAGCCGACGTACGACAAGTTCTGATTAGTCTCTCGGAGAACCCTGGGGTTTGATCCCATTTTAGGTACCGATGTTTGACCCACACCCGTTTCACCCGTAGGTTTCGATACAAAGGCTTACCCGATTCGCCGATTGATCACCGATTCAACATCCACAACTTGCGCCACAGCCTCAACTTCGAGTAGCCAGCGACAGGGGTGTCTTTTGCCACCTTTTGTGGGAGAATTGGCGACCCCCTCAAAAAGGAATCCTTCACCACGGGGGGTCGATCATTGTTCCACAAAAGGAGCGATCTAATGGATGAAGCGGCTATCAAGTGACGCATGCTCACCCTGTGGAGTTGGCAAAATGACGTGTTGGGTGACTCCTCCATCGCGTCTGTCAAGGCAAACAATTGGAAACCCCTCCAAAAATGGAAGGTGGACATAAACCCTATGCAAATGTTGACCAAATGGTCTCTAATTAGAATCCCCTCCCAACTCATCCAAAAATGGGTTGTGGACACTCTCAAAATGAGGCACTGGGGGGAGGGGGTGAAGCCATATCTCTAAGGTTCGACACTGCAGACTGCATGAATGTCCGGCTGCCAGAGTTGAGCGCGAGGGTCATTGGCGCGAACTCGCGAACTAGTGTTTGACCAGAGCAAATCCCAGAGCGGGACTCCTAGAGGTGGGTTCCTTTGGACTACATCCGAAAAAGGAATCCCCATACTTGTTCGACAGGCACACTGTTTGCAACGATTCCTCGAGCTGTCCTGGTCGACAGCTGTCCTGGTCGACAGCCGTCCGCCCCAAGCTGTAAAACGATACGGGACGTGCTAATGTCAGCTGTTTTTTCCTCTTCGAGCCATTTTGCCGCTGACTCGTGTATTGTCATTGCCACCTCGAGTTACGCCCCCGTGATTTCTCTGTTAACGGCAATGGCCACGGTGCTGAGCTCAGTTCACTGTCACACGGGCTTCGTACTCGGATCCCGTTACGGGGTGGGGTACTTTAGGACAGAGCTGTGTGTGAATTCATGTTTGGGCCTCGCTGGTCTTTGTAGATCACATTCACTTAATTTCGAGATACCACGTTGGTAGGGTCACCATTTGAGATTGCCATTCCAATAGAAGCTCCTGGCGGCCTGCTAGACTGCTCAGTGCAAGCAGTGAATTTGCTCAGCTACTCCAAAGGACGTTAATTGCGCACTTTCGAATTGAGGCGTTGATCGGGGGAACAGCAGGAACTGTTGCCCCACGGTCAGCGGTTGCTTTGTGTATGACACAGCAATCACGACTGGGTGTTCACGATTCTCGGTAGTACTGCTTCGGGTTACACCTGCAGGACCAGTAGGAGTCAGATGACCGCCGGGTGATTGAATGGCGATCCGCAACTATGAGCACGTTGAAACCCGGTCGAATTTAGGCCCGGATTTTGACAGCATGGAGCTGTTCATCAACAACCCCCATTGTGTCTCAGAATCGCAGCGGTTCCCAGGCATGGTCCCAACTAGTTCCTAGACATGTGCGCAGCCTGTGCCACGCCTTGCCCTAAACCCTGAAGATGGATTCTCTGCAAGGAGGCTCGTGTCTCTGGATTTTTGTATTTTTTTTCCGGGTGTAATGCTCTTTTTTGGGGAGTTGCACTTAGCATTTGTGCTTCAGGGCTGAGAGGAATTCCGCGAGTCCAACCTTCCACACTCACGGCGAGGGACGACAGTCAAGCGGATCATTTCGGGATTGCATGTCCATGCTTCCAAGCGACAACTTGCAGCCTTGCAGTTTGAGGTTGATGTGCCCCGAAATATCGCACACGTGCAAGTTAGCCAGCCATCCAGTGTGGATCAAGCAAGCCCGCCATCCAGACTGGATGAAGCAATGTACCAAGAAGCATGTTTCCCTAACGCAGGAATTGTCGGGGCATCATTTGCGAGCTGTTGCGTTTGTACTAGTGTGTGGTGCAAATTGGGGGGGAATGCACATAATGCTTGGTTCCCTTTTGTTTTCCCCTTGGCCACTCTTTCACTCAAAGGGGTCTTCAATTTGAAGTCACACACTGGTCGATGTAGTGTTTCTTTCAGGGAGGGGCCTTGCGGGACGAGGGCTTCGGCAGTGGCCAGGTGCAACCTGGGAAGATGTGCAGCATCCGCTGTAAGGACAGATGCTTGGAAGGGCGAGACACGGCTTTGCTTCTGCGAAAGGCATCAAGAAACAGGAATCACGGCATGGTGGACAAGTCGTGACACGGGACAATGTGTGCTGACCAAATGTTTTCGGGCTCGGGAATTTTCAGCGCCCATTCGCCAAACCCCGAATCCTCCAGACTCATTTGGGCATGGCTGCGGCAGCGTTGCTGCTTCATTTTGTAGAGTACATCGTGACGCCTCCCCTTCCAGAAATCCGGGTCGCGAGCAACTAACATAGGAGTGATTGGGTGGGCCTGCCTCACCAATCTTCCGAGGGCTTGGTGAGGGGTGTGTGTCTGTGCGTGTGAGTGTGGGTGGCTGGGCGGGCGGGCGGGTGGGTGGGCGGGTGGCTGAGTGGCTGAGTGGCTGGGTGGGTGGTGGGTGGGTGTGTATTTGAGAGAGAGAGAGACTTTGTTAGGGACAATTTATTGGGGCTCAAGTTTGCGGCCACATCAAGGATCTTGTGCCTCAAGGATGTTGTGCATCAAGCTCCGTCCAGAGTTATTGTGTGTAAGGGCCTCGCATATGCCGCATGGCCGCACCACGCGGCATATCTAAAAGCAAAGAAACGCCTTGGGGTTCCAGGGCAGTTGGGCCATGAGTCACTGCCTTGCAGTCGCCGTACCTGGGGCCTGCGACCGACTTCACATGTGGCTGCCTCAGACCTGAGCGTCTGCTAAAAGCCCCCTGGCTGGGACGTCTAGGTCCCCCAGTGCCCTTTTACCGACTTTTGTTGGGGGAAGGTTCCCCTTCTAAAATAGACTACGTAAAAAGGTGGTACCCTTGTTCTAACCTCTCGAATCTGGAGGACCTAGTGTTGGTTTTGCTCGGAGAAAAAGACAGCAACCACCCAAAGGAATCGGTCCAACTCACTTTGGGATATGCGGGTCCTTTGCAGATGACGCAGATGTTTCCGGCCAACGCCTGCCGCCGGCCAACCAAAATATGCCAAACTTGAAACCGAACTGAACATAGATGAAGATCGAAGCAAAAGCCATGTAGTTCCCCAAGTGTTTTTGCAGCAATTACGCACTATAAGTGCTGGAATCACAATTCCATCATTGCCTCTACCAAAAGGTCACTGAGCGACAACCACTTGAGTTCTCGAGGGATGCTTGCTGCTCCTTGACGGACATGGCCAGTGGGTTCTTCAGATTGTAAGACGTGCACAGTATCGTCACGTTCTTATGATCAGTGTCAAAATAAGAGTCTGCCAGGACGGCTTTAGGGGGCTACCAAATGGAGTTGCTCATTTGGGCGGGTTATGGCGGGTTGTTGATTTTGCCAACCGTCTATGAGGCTAACTATTGTAAGATAAACCAATCATCAAGTTGTCCAACTTTTGCATTTCTGCAAGTGCAGAACTAGCCGCTTTTCTTTAAACATAGTCATGTGCCTTTTGCCAACGTACCCTTTTTGGGGTTGGTTTCAAGGAAAACAAAGGACTATCACCGAGTGCTGGAGAAGCTCACTTGTTGCCTTTGTCTCGGAAGATGCTTATGTTTCAGGGTGGGCGACATGTGGAACAGACATTTGATGGTCAGCTGGCCAAGGTTGGCCTCAGACTTCTCCGTTCCTTTCGTCAAGGTCTCAACTTGACGCCCGTCCCGTCTGGTGCATTTGCGGGGATGGCGACTGCAAATAAAGTGCCGCGGTCGTGTCGTGTCACACCAGAAAGCAATGGATGACACTTGAAGCTGAGCTGTTCTACAGAAACCACGTACCATACAAGCCCACATGATTTAGCAATCACAGAGGAAGACAAGTCAGAAGTTTGTCTTGTTTATTTTGTTGATGCTTTGTGAGCACCGGAAGTGGAAATGTTTTTACGGGGACGGCCTCGCATTTGCTGTGGCCCGCTCTTCCTGTGCCGGCCGGACGGCGTAGGTCCTGTGGCGAACACGGACCCCAACACCGCCCTCTTGGGTACCCTGCCGGACTGCGGCTGCGCCTTGACGAAAGGAACGCACAACGGGGCCCACAACTTGTGCCAGCTTGGGCACAGAAATCACCAGCTAGGTCCCCCCCCGGTGGTGCCTTTTTTTTACCAACTTTTTGTTGGACAAGTTCCCCTACTAAAATAGACTACAGCAAAAGTTGGTAATTACCCTTATTCTAACCTCTCTACTGGAGGACCTACATGGTTTCCTGGTTTCAGCGCCACCGAAAGGAGGAATCGGCAAAAGCCTCCATTCTGGTGTAAGAGGAATCGGCCAAAGGTTGGCTACGTCCGATATCCCGGTCGGGATTTGCAACTTGCGCCTGAAAAATAGGTTGTTTGTTGTCACAGAGTCGCCTAAACTGGTTGGCAGCTGGTTTCCCTCGATTTTGCTTGGTAGCTATTTTGTGGTGTTTCAAAGCCAAAGCTCAATATGTTGGACCCTGCCCCCAGAAGAACATTTGAGCTACCACTGAAAGGGTTGCATGAATATGTATTGGAGTGGAATAGAGTAAGCAACAACAAAAACGAAGGCGAGTCTTTAAAAGGAAGGATTCAGCGATATTCCAGTTCGGCACCGCAGGGTTTTGGCGGCGGCTGATTGGATCACCGCTGAAACACTCTTCCCAATTGCGGTCACTGTCACTGTTTGGGCAGGCTCAAATCCATACTCAATCCTTGGTCGACTGAGGAGAGACTCCTTTCCAAAGTAGAATAAGTCAGCTCTATGTCCAACTCCATGTTTGGCAATGCTTCTGGCAAGAATGAAATGACTGCAGAGTCGTTAGGACCATGTTCCGGATGCATCTAATGCGCGAAAAGCAGATTAGAGCGAGGAGTCTACTGGGGAACTCTCCAATGCCCCAACACAAGCAGGGAAGCAACCGGGCACATGGGCTCAAACCGACGGCCTTGGTAGTTGTTGAAGGGCCACAGTTAAACTTGCCATTTTGCAGGTGTCCTAAACTTGAATATCACCCGCTTGATTAGTAGGAAGTCACAACGTACTTTGGATTCTTTCACACGGCTCAGTTGTCCAAAGCCGATGTTTTCTTTGGTGCATTTTGCTTGGCTGTTAGGACTTTAACTTTTTGCCAACTAATGGGTTTTCCACTACACCACTAAGAGTTAAACTTTTAGCAGGGGAGCAGAAAGCAACCGAGTTTTGACCTTCTTGATTTTCCTGTTTGGCCTCTTCCATCAGGTCTCAGATCAGACCGACTTTTTCCAGGTTCTGTTGGGCGAGACAAACGCATTGCTGCGAGCAACAGCTATGACCGGACCTTTATGTCCTCGATCGCCAAGCTCCGACCTTTTGCAGTGTGAAGTCGCTGGGGATATTTTTGGATGAGTGCCATGGTCTGGGCTTTGCATTGGAGCCCCATTGTGATATGGGCGTCGTTTCTCCGTTTGGTTTTCCGAATCTACTGAATTCAGCACAGGCGAGAGTCTTGGGATGCGCAAAGTTTGTGAATCAAGCGGGCGACCACTCAGGGCTTTTCTGCCGATGGGGGCTGTAACATGCTGTAACCAAGTCGAAGGGCAGAAATTTCCTCCGCTTCCTAATCCCCCGAAATCGAAATGTTCGAGGCCATGGCTTCTGTCAGGTGGTGAACCGACACCTCTGCCACCGGGCTACAATCTGCCCCGCGCTCAGAGAGGAATTGCACAGATCTCCAGTTTCGCAGACCCTGAAAGGTTCTTTCGGGTTTCCTTCATGTAGCTTCAACCCAAAGTTAACTTGTTGGTCGGATCCATTTGGCTGGCCTTGTGTTTTGTGTACAAGCGAAATCACAAATACATAACTCTATATATATACATATATATATGTACATATATATATATAAACATATAAACACATATAATATATTTGCAGTCCGGGAATTCGGGCTGGGGTTTTCTTAATCCCAGCGAAGGACCTCGGACCAGTTCGAGAACACCATCACCTACTCCTGCGCCCAGGGCTACGGAGGCCGTGGGAAGTGGTGGACTCAGGGAATGGGAATGAGCCCAAGAATTGGTCCCCTAGGAAACCAGTTGGATGATTTATCTCGGGGGTATTTACAACTCTCATTTTGCCGGCTTTTGCACCAGCAAGATTTTTTTTTGGTACCCAGATGTGGGCCAAGTGTTGCAAGTGCAAACCAACAGGAAGCCAGCCTATTTTTCGGGGTTGCCCTGTGTTGGCACCAACCCATTGACCTCCAAGTCCCCCGGCGGTTTCTTTAGGGAGGATTCCCCTGCATTCCGCTTGGGGTTTGGTGCGGAGGTGTCCGCCAGGGATCCCAGGCTGACAGGTGGCCGCGCCCGGAAAAAAAATCGCAAGCGCCAAGAAGTGGACACCCCCCATTTATTATGCTGGGATTGTCCTTTGTAAGGCCCTGGCTCAGGTATGATCATGATTTACTATCCTTTCAACTGAGAGGGGGTACCTCCCCACTGCCACGTTAGTTGGAGGAAGGGTAAGTCGATTTCCGCCGGATTTGGAGACCTCAGCTCAAAGCGACCTTCCCGGCCCATTCATCTCCATCCCTAGCGGCAGGAACGGCGCGGAAGCTGTGCCAGCCAGGCCAGGCGCCCGGTTTTTTCACAAGGAAGGCGTCCGTTTGTTTACTAGGTCCCCCTAGTAGTGCCCTTCTTAACCCCTTTTTTGGGCAGGGTTCCCCTAGTGAAATAGACTACAGCAAAAAGGGTACCCTTATTCTAACCTCTCTACTGGAGGACCTAGTTTACTTGGTGGCAAGCCCAGCCGTCCGGTTCAACTTAGCTGCTTAGATATTTTTAGATCCTTTTAGTTGGTTTAGTGGTTGGATATCCGAATTTAACCCACTACAAGTTAGTCACTTTTGACGGGGGATCAACTTGGACAGCCCAGTTTAGAAGATGCGTGGTGTTCCCCGCTTGCTTCTATTTTCCCCTTAAGAGATCTATGTTTTGGGTACCCCTAAAAACGGTACAGACCCATGTGTGCTAGTTTTCCTTTGTAGGTTTTAAAGGGAATCGATTTCACTGCTGGACATAGTTTCTCATATTTTGCCTTTGGCCGAAGAAGCAAACGGAGGAAGGTCAAACCCCGCCCTTTGAACACTTCACCTCCTCTTGGCTGTTCAAAGCGAGCCGAGTCAGGCGACGGCGCGGATGAATGGGCTCGGAAATTGCCAAAAATCAAACCCGGGTCACTCAAAGCTTTCTGATGGATGTGAAGAGGGGGGTTCCCTAAAGGAGCCCCTTAAGTTGTTTTTTTTTGTGTGTGTGTGTGTGTTTGTTTGTTTGTTTGTTTTTTTTTTGGGGGGGGGGGATTTCGCTTCGAAACAAACCGAGGGTGCTGTTCGAAAACTTCCTCTTGTATCTTCTCCATGTTTGTCAGAGCTCCTGGAACTCCCAACATCCCGAGTAGCGGCAATCCATTAGTAACCTGATATAAACTTCTCCAGCACGTGTTTCAGCTAGAGACCCTGGTTGCCCACCATACCATGGGGCGGAAGATGACTTATGTTTGTTCTTTTGTACCCCACAACATGTGTCCAATTATTGAGGCACAGGCAAACAGAAAAACTAAAGGGGTGCCTCACCGCTCCCAAGCATAAGAAGTATTGGTGCCCAAGCGCATCTTCCTTGGTTTTGCCTCTGTTTGTGTGCATTGATGTATCAACATATTAGATATTAGAGTTTGATGTTGCAGATGCTGCAGAGGTACGTTGTTTTTGACTATTTACTTTATTGCCTACTAATTGTACCCATGTGTTTGATCAATGCTGCTGAAGTAGCTTTGCCTGAAAGCGTGTGGATGCTCACGGACTCTGCTACGAACATTGTAGAGTAGCTTTCTGCTTGGTTTTGCATTGGTTGTTTTCTTTGTGCTTATGGTTCATGTTTTCTCGAGGCTACCCATTTTCACCTGGCACAGCGATGGCACTCCCTTTAACCCACCGCTGGGGTGACTTTAACACCGGCAGAAGAATGAGACCACTAATTTTAGAGACCGGGTGTTGGTGGGGATGTGATCTTAACATGAAAAATGCTACACAACACTGTATGTTACAGTGTTTGCTGGCGAAACAGTGCTGAGAACTAGGTAAAAAAACACGTTTTTTTCATGCGCATGTCATTCTTACTTAGCAGTGCTAAAACTACATCCCAGGGAGCACCCCTTCTGGAATTTCACAAGTGAATCCTCATCGCCAATGTTCTGACGCCGCAACAGGAGCATGCCAGGGGTTCTTTTGGCATGTGTTTTGTTTACCTGGGGGCGCATCTGGGAATTGCATCTAAGGTTTTTTGGATTCCTTGGTTTGTGGGATAAAATTCCAGCTTCCCACTAATTGGTGGACGGGGGTCCCTTTGAAAGGAAAATGGTCCTGTCAGGTTCCATGTAAATCTTGCTGGTGCTCAGCAGGGAATGAGGAAATGACCCCTACAAACCATCCCTTTTCTGTTTCCTTTAAGGGAATCCCAAACGGTTCATTCCCACATTCCCTGCTGAGCACCAGCAATGGGTGAGCAAGGAGAGTCCGGAGCATGCTGTCAAAGATCCGATTAAGCAAAGGAAAGTGGTGTGTACAGCGTGGCGCATGTTTCTCCCAGGATTTTCGGATGAAATTCGCTCTCTCCCAGCTCAGGGCCTGGCCCGGAATGCACCGTGGACCCCTTGATGACAGGCACGGAATCGGCCGGGATGCATGCTGGAAGCCGGCGTCGCGGTTGCCATGTCCCAGTGGAGTTTCACCTTCCAGTACTGAAGTAAAGGAAGCCACCCAACCGGGCTGCTCCAAGAGTATTTTAGACTAAATATGAGCCACAATCAGCACCCGGGTAAATGAAGGTTAGTAAGGGGCAGTCCCAGCCAGAAATAGTTGCGGCCGCCGCCTTATTTTTTTTTACATATTTCTGATAGACCATTTAATACAGGGTTTTGATTGTGACTCATATGACATGGAATCAGAAAGCCTTGTTGTTGGAATCCCGCAGAGTTGGGTCGAAGGTGAATTCTGGACACATCTGAGTTACTTGCCACCAGTCACTGGATGCGGCTGTAGATTCTTGGCTGAGTTGTGTTGCGCTGGAATCTGCAGGGAGGGAGGGAGGGAGGGAGGGAGGGAGGGAGGGAGGGAGGGAGGGAGGGAGGGAGGGAGGGAGGGAGGGCCCTTCGGTTTTCTACGGTGCGGTACTGGCACGGTGTTGAGACATGCTCAACCGGTGGGATCAGGTTCCCTCCCAGAATCCGTTGAGAAAACAGCACGAGGTCTGTTGAATGAAGACTTGTTCGAATCGTCACTCGCTAAAGTCCTAGCGATTTCATCAAAGAAGAAACCAGATCCGTGATCCCAATCACTGCGTCCAGCCAAGGGATCTCAACCTTTAGACTTGCCGGGTGTTTTCGTTGGTTGCCTACTACATTAGATCCATGGGCGAATGTGGAGTCCCTTTTTCGCCCCTCCAAGAGTCAAGTTCAACACGGAAACTCGCTTGGAGAGACGAACTGGGATTCTGAACTCGACGGCCTGCGGAGTTTTCCGGGCTCGCATGGTGCCCATCCTCCCGCTCATGGCTGGGGTCCCCAACTTTGCCCGAACACCCCCTCCCAAAACAAACACACCAACAAACAATGCATGGAAGCGACTCTACCTCACCATCCGATAGATATGTCCTGTGGGGACATGAGTATGTGTTGAAATAGGGGATCCCCAAACAGGTGTTGTTCGTTTTGGTGTCCCTCGAAACCAGCCTGAGATACCCTAAGAAACGCACATCCACGTGTTGCAGGGTCTGTGCTTGTTTTCATGGCTTGCTTTCTTTGAACCGCGCGTTTCTCTGGTTTTTCGGCTGCAATCGCCGCAGGTTGCGCGATCCCCCTGGCTTGCGAGGCCGGCAAGAAACAAAATGCGGGCTGTTTGCTGTTCGTTTGGAGAGAACTCGCGGGGGTCCACCCAAATGTCCCACAAAAACCGGGGGCCCACCCAATGTTCCCCGGTCGTGTTGTTGATGTCGCGCCCAAAGCTGCACGTCAAGATTGGCGCTGCGCATAGCGCATTTGTTCAGTTTCCGTGGGAGCCTTTTTTCACTAGATAGGTGGAAACTGAAAAGGGCACCTCAGATTTCGAACTCTTTGCCACCCAAGAGATCCGAGTTCATGCCAGTCAACTCAGGTCAGTTGAACTCTTGCCACCCAAAGCTAAGTGATTTGCCAGCTGAGTTTGAGGTCATCTTCATCGATCAAGGCTCTGGAGAGGCCAGAGCCGGCTCGATAGAGATTGGCAGTCAGCCTGAAGACTCTCTTCACTGGGGTCTTCTCCAAAAGAGTCACATTTTAGGGTTGAGATATGCAGCAGAATCTTAGAATACATTTTGTTTGCTTGAGTAATTACCCGAGATGTGCACCAAGATGACCACGTTCTCGAGGCATCCATTCGAAATGCCATGTCGGACACTGGATCCTAGCTTTCAAACATGTATTGCCGTGCACACTGTGATTCAAGCCTGCGTGCAGACCTTGCTTTGTGAATCTGAACGCCAATCCCAACCTGCCGGGGTGTTTGGTTCGCCGTAGCGGATTTTAAGTGGTCTTTCTTTGAGGAGCATCTCACTCGCTGGTGGCCGCTAGTGTGTGTGTGTGTGTATGCGCATTACGCTTGCGAGTCTCGATTTGACCGCCGGGCACTGGGGAAAGTATGAGAGACATGAGAAACGTTCGCAAGACGGAGAATGATTCTGAGGGCGTGACCTAAGGAAGAACAATCTCAGAACGGCAATCTTCGGAGGTAAAACAAAGCTCTCATCTGAAAGTTCGCTTGCTTGGGAATCTCTTTTGCAGGTTTTGATTGAAGATATCCCAGTGAACAACAAGCCTTTGGAAGGTTGCTTCTTGCAGACAACAGATTTCCGGCCTGGGGTCTATGGAGGTTACTATGCCGTGCTCCCAGTGGGCTAAACTAGGGTCTCTTCCCAAACTCTTGTCTTTCTCGATGTTTGGGCAAGCTAAAAAATAAGCGTAATCTGAACATATTGTTCCTTTTTGTGTGTGTGTGTGGGCCTAGTAAAGAAGGCTTATTTAGATCAAGGGCTGGGCTTGGTTCAACTTGCCGAAGTCTCCGCGACATGAAGCTTTCTTCCCTGGAGTCCAAGAAGTGCGGCGCGTGAACGAGGCTTTTTTCGCAGATGATGTACAGGTAATCCTTCGTGTTGTTCAGGGTGGGATCACTCGGGGTTTATCCAACCACTTCCGTGATACAACTTGGAATCCAACCTCTTTATATGGCCATGGGTCACAACGTATGCCTCTATTTTGGGGCCGATGAACACCCAATGTACCACCTATCTTGATGTTCACCAGGGGTACAGGGTTTTGACCCACAGCCATATGGGGAATCAGTCTTTGGGCTTCCGCCTCTTTTGGTGTATCACGGTCATGTCAACCGCAGCTTTTGGGGGTTCTGGGTGGACGTGGCAGCAATGTTTCCCAGCACCCCCAAAACGCTTCCACTCGATGAAGTGCGTGCTTTTGGGGATTCTGGAAGCGGCAGCAATGAGATGGTCCCGGGTGTCGAAAAGCCAGCCCCTCCGTCTTCCCCAGAATTAGTTCCCCTTTTCATGCTTTTTTTTTGGTGTTCCCTTTGTTTTCCACTCACCAGGCAAACAAAAATGTCCCCAGAATTAGTTCCCCTTTTCATGTTTTTATTTTTTGGTGTTCCCCTTGTTTTCCACTCACCAGGCAAAAAAAAAATGTTCCCAGAATTAGTTCCCCTTTTCATTTTTTTTTGGGTGTTCCCTTTGTTTTCCACTCACCAGGCAAAAAAAACATGTCCCCAGAATTAGTTCCCCTTTTCATTTTTTTCTTTTTTGGTGTTCCCTTTGTATTCCACTCACCAGGCAAAACAAAATGTCCCCAGAATTAGTTCCCCTTTTCATGTTTGTTCTTTTTTGGTGTTCCCTTTGTTTTCCACTCACCCGGCAAAAAAAAAAAAAACATGTCCCCAGAAGTAGTTCCCCTTTTCATTTTTTTCTTTTTTGGTGTTCCCTTTGTATTCCACTCACCAGGCAAAAAAAAAAGTCCCCAGAATTAGTTCCCCTTTTCATATTTGTTCTTTTTTGGTGTTCCCTTTGTATTCCACTCACCAGGCAAAAAAAAACCAAAAACATGTCCCCAGAAGTAGTTCCCCTTTTCATTTTTTGCTTTTTTGGTGCTCCCTTTGTTTTCCACTAACCAGGCATTTTTATTTTCTATTTTTTATTTTTGCTGGGGTCCTAATTCCATCCAAGATCCGATGATCCGATGATCCGATGTGCGTCTCGCCTCAGGGCACTGCGATCGGCGAGATCCACATGGGCCCTGCTCTCTTGGGCGCCTCCGTGGACGAGGCGCCTCCGTCCCGTGGGTCAGGTGGGTGTCACCCGGAGATTTTTCGGGGGAAACTGATAGGCCCCCCCTTTTTCTGGGTTTTTCAGCTAGGTGCCCATTCTTTTACCGTTTCTTTCTTTTTGGTTGGGAGGGTTCCCCTACTAAAATAGACTACAGAACAAGGGTACCCTTATTCTAACCTCTCTACTGGAGGACCTAGTTTTGGTATTTGAAGGAACAAACAGAAACCCATTGTTTCAGGGTAACTACGTATTAAGCTGAGAAACAACCTGGTCAACTTTATTGGGAGGTTGGCTGGGGAGAATTCAGGCCTTTTTTCCAGATCATTTCCCGCATATTCCCGCTAAACACTGACAACCAAAGAGAGTGGCGCAGGAACACGACACTTCTGCAGCTCGTTATTTTGTTGTTGGAATCGAATCCACGCAGGCTTGTTTCCTCAAAGATTGTTGGGCCGCTTTTGTTGAAGTGTGCAGCTCGAGTGCTTCATCAGTGTGGCAACGTGAGGCTAGGTCCCCCAGTAGTGCCCTTTTACCCTTGTTTTGGGGAGGGTTCCCTACTAAAATAGACTACAGAAAAAAGGTACCCTTATTCTAACCTCTCTACTGGAGGACCTAGGAAGGATATCTTCTTGGCAGGATGAGCTTGACATAATTTTGTTGAGCCCTGCTAGCAAATACAAGCAAGATTTGTATTTTGCCCCCAATAATTTTGCAACAGTTTGTACAAGTGCTCGCCAATCAGTCCACAAACTCCACAAGTTCTCCCTTTGTCGTTGTTTAGTTTGCCCAGGAATACTAGAAGATCGATGCCCTCAACTTCTATACTTCTGCTTTTTGTGTTTCAGGGAATGCTCCGAGCCGAGAAAGCAAAGCTAAAATCTCGATGGCCGGGGTTTCCTCAGATTCTTTCTCAGATTAGGTTGGCATACTGGGATTGGACGAAATCTATTTCGCACCGTTCAGACACCCTGGAAGGTTTTTCGATTCCCTTGCAAATACCAACAATCGTTATAGTTTTCCCCATGGCCTCAGAGCGGTGCGGAATGGATTTCGACCAACCATCCCCGGTATGACACGGATACATTTTTCTTTGTGGTGGACCCCAATCCTTTGCTTTGGCGCATTTTGCTTGGATGTTAGGACTTCAACTGTTTGCCAACTAATGCGTTTTGCATTCAACCACGAAAAGTCAAAGCTTTTCGCAGGGGAGCAGAAAGCCTCCGAGTGTTCCAAAAGCCCAGTCATTCTCTGGATTTGGTCCCTTCCTCAATCAATATTCAATCCAATATCCCTTCCAGAGTTGGGTCCTGATCCTTTGGACGCAGGCCGATGTGCTGGCCTATGAGGTGTTTTGGGCCGACAGCTGCGAGGAGCGGCTCGGCACCGCCGCCAGCGCCTCAAGCTCCAAAGGTCTGGGAGCCGCGAGTCGTTGCTCAAAGGCTCTGTTGCCCAGTGGATTCCGCCCCCTTTTTTCCTCCTTTTTTTGGGGGAAGGGTTAGTCTTTGAAGTCAAAGACTCAAGAAAGGATGCCCTTTTGTTCCCATAGCCACTGGGCTGTGAAGAGCTTAACCTCGTTTGGCAGAGCGCATGAAAACCCCCCAAGAAAAAAGAGAAGCACCCGCACCGCACCACGTTTGTCGCTGCCAGAGCCTACTAGCTGAAGCACGGAAAATGCAAGAAGCAGCGTTGCTCAATGTTGGCGCAAAGCAAGAATTGTGCGACACTGTACAACGATTTGTAGAGTTTGTTGTCTTCCTTTGCTGCGGAGCTTCCACCTTTGGTTCTTTGAGTCATGCAACACACTCACACACACAGTTGGCAGCCCTTTCAACACAACCAAGCGTACTTCTACTAGGTCTCCCAGTAGTGCCTCTTTACCCTTTTTGGGGGAGGGTTCCCCTACTAAAATAGACTACAGCAAAAAGTACCCTTATTCTAGCCTCTCTACTGGAGGACCTAGCAAAAACATCGCCATTGCAAACTGTTTTCTCTCCTCAGTCCAAACTTTCCTGCATCGGCAGTCACAGGCCGACTGCCAAACGAGGGAGCATGGATCTTGAATCATTTGACCTTGTCTCGTCTAGGGAAGGTTCATGGCACAGCCACCACTACTGTAGTACAGAGAATGACACAGGGCACACCCACCAGATCGATTGCCACTAGGAAACGGGGGTTGCCAAATTCCATTGTCACTTGGGGCAGAGATCATTGGCTATGGCTCACGTAGCAAGCTGGATGCCTGGGTACAAGGTTGCATCACTCCGTTAGAGGCAGGTCCAGCTGAGACGTGTATCTTACATTTTGATACGTGTTGGCCCGCTAGGCTGGTAACATATCTAGCTCCTAGGTCATAATGGGAACCCCGTATAAATCATCCGGGTGGCATGTCAAGGCACGAAAGGTTTCGGACAGCTCACTGTGTTCAAAGCAAGTCCAAGGCGATACACCACAGGATCACGCGTGGAAACAGCCCAACGTGTTCTTTTAAGTTTATTATCAGATCCAAATGCTCAACATAGAAACAAGTACCATACCAGTCATGCAGAGACCAAGCCTAGCACATGCACTACATCCCACCAAGCAAGACATCCCTCTTCTCGTCGGGTTAACCAGAAGGACAACCACCATTTGGGGGCGGGGGGGTTGCCTACTTTGACTCACACAGAAAAAGGGGTACCGTCAAAAATGACCATTTGAAGGAAATTGCCTACTTTGACTCATCCCCAAAAAAGGGGTACCGTGAAAAATGGCCGTTTGAAGGGGTGGCCGGATTTGACTCGAAAACCAAGAACGGGGGGTACCTTTTCAACATGACTGGTTTAGGGGTCCACTAAACATGACTGGTTTAGGGGTCCATTAAACATGACTGGTTTAGAGGTCCATGAACCATGACTGGTTTATGGCTTTTAGACATGACCGGTTTATGGCTTTTTAACATGACTGGATTATGTGTTGTTGTTTTTTTTTTACATGACTGGATTATGGCTTTTTAACACGTCTGGTGTATGGCTTTTAAACATGACTGGTACTAGTACCTTTTAAACATAGTTTGAACATTGGCTGTGCCAAGAAAACTTTTGTCGATCCTGAGGCCCTGGGCGGGATTGCTGCCGGAAGGGGGGATGCCTGCTGCAGGACGAGAGAGCCGGAGCATAGATCGGGGTTGAAGGAACCCCAAACACTGCATATGGGTGTGGGTCAAAACCCAGATACCCTTTCTTTGGCCACCCTCCCTTTGTTCGGTCCATTTTTTAACGGGAAGCTGGGGGGTAAGGGGGGTAACAGGGTTTTGACCCACAGCCATATTAATATTCACCCACATGTACCCGACTCAGTGAATTGTTTGCAAGAATACTCTATGTATATGTGGTGACAAACAATTAGATCATGTATGTTGGGTTCAATTCATGGACGTGGTGTTGGTTAGGCCCCATTCGCAGATGTTGCGTAGTTCTTTTCGAGAACGAGTTGCACATCAGCTGGGAATTCCCAGTTTGGGGGCTGAATGCAATGGTGTTTTTCGCCTCAAGTCATCCCCCTAGTTGTGAAGACCCAGCAGTCAGGCTGGATGCGCTGCACCAAAAGAGTCGAAGCTGTACGTCGGCGTGTGCCCGTCTGTCAGTGTTTGGGCGGTGCCATCGGTTCTAAGATACCAGATGGCTCGTGGCGCGCGACAATTGTCTCTGTTTTTGCATATGGCATCATCAAGGAGCCTCATTAGCACCGCGGGCTGGATGCACTTGAGTGAACGGCAAGTTAGTAGGTGCTGCTGCCAAACTCAGAGGGTCTTTTGAGACAAGAAGCTACCCACCCGGCCAGCCGTTGCTGATCGGCTGTGAGCTATGCAAGCCGAAATAGATGCGAGCTGCGGCTTGCGCTTTGGTTTGAAGTTCTTGAAGGGCATCTGAGTGGGCTGGTTGGCTCGCTTTTCGGCCGCAAGCCTTTTGCTGTGCCTTGCGTCCTGATGTCGTGAAACAGTGTGATGGCAGACATGCAGGTGTACAAGTGTCGGTGCTTTGCGTGTTGATTGATAGCGATCGCGAAAACCTCTCAGTTGTGCGTTGGTTTTCCAGGACGCATGTGGAATGCTGATGACTCCTCATCCTGGCTCATGTTTTTGTTGCGCGTTTGGCCAATCGGACCCCAAATTAGATGCTGCCTATGTATCAACCAGCGGGTTCATGGAGTCGGAACTCCTGGGTTGCGATCTTCTGCTCCTCAGTGCCCCAACCATTTTGGTGTGGTGGATGTGCTGAGTCTCACGTGAGACACAAAAAGAAGCTCCGGGCAAGCGACTCTGACAGCTCCGGCCAGAAAATTGGGTGTGGCCACCCCTCTCCAGGACCTTGCCATGCTTGTTGGGAAACATTTTACATTTTTGCTTATTGCGGTCTAGTGGTTGACATCCAAATCCACCTAACTGCTAAAAAAGAAACGATTTCTGCTCCCCTTCCAACGTCAAGCAAGTTGCATGGGAGGACCTCGCCAGTGATTGTGACTCATGCGACAGGAACGACGTGTACCAGGTCCCCATCCGAAGCCGGCCCCCGGAGAGCCTGCGCCTTAAACCCGGACGGAACCCGCCGTTTCAGAGCCCGTTGGTTAGAAGCACCTAAATGGCCATGGGTCAAAATCCAAATCGTACCCCCGGTGAACATCCCAATCCAACCACTATAGTTTCAAAATTGGTGGTGCATTCACCTACCCTAAAATGGTACCATGGGTTTTGACACACAGCCAAATAGGTCTCGCGTTATGTGGCAAGGGCCCCTTATGCATGGGAAGGGGTGCCATGTTCTTTTGGATGCGAATTGTCTACCTAAACATTTCCCGCCCCTCCCCCCCCACAAAAAGAAAAAAGAATACAAATCAGGTGACAGTGTCCTTTTGATCTGGTAGAAAGAGTACTTCTTGCAGCGGTCAAAACGTATGTTGTAAGTTTTCAGGAGCCGTGATTGAAAGTGAAAAAGACATTCCTTGGAGAGAGGATCCCGGAGTGAAGTTGCTTGATATCCACGAGCTGGCACGCTTGGCACAGGATGGTGTTTTGAGTGTTGATGCAGGTGCTAGGATAATTTCCAGTGCTTTGCAGGGTGCCGGGTGCGGTTGGCTGCTGATGGTGCGCATGTGATTGCTTTCTTTAGAGCCTGGTTAGCGCCTGGCAGGCTGTGGCGGGTGCCGGAAGGTGACTATAGTGACCATTGCCAAATTGCCCATGTATGTGGATCCTTACTAGGTCCCCCAGTAGTGCTCTTTTACCCTTTTTTGGGGGAGAAAAGGGACCCTTATTCTAGCCTCTCTGCCTCTCTACTGGAGGACCTAGTTATGGTAGGCGAATTTCGCATATCCTCTTGCAGAAACAAGTTGAAGGAAGTCCGAAGCCGTCTCGGGGATGACCCAGACTTTGTGTTCAATCTGGGGACCAAGCCTGCGGGTACCTTTGTCAAGTTACTATGTCGTGTTCATGTCCAAATTCCACCACCAGCATCCGCCCACTGCTGTTTCCCATGTCCAAAATCCCGAGCATCTATTTTAGGTTGGACCCCCACCCAAACAAAATGACTTCGGTCCCTTGAAACAACAACACCAACGCACCCTCAGAGAACAACACACCCCTCCCCAAAGAAAGACATATTTCAGTTGTCCTTTTGGTTTCCCCCCAAAAAAACACGAAAACAGGGGTAAACGCCCAGCATTTGACATATTCCCTTTTCAAACATCCGAGGCGCCACGGGCTTTGTGGTCTTCTCCGTGCTTAGCGTGGGCCGTGCCCCCGTGGGGGTCTACGTGGAGCTGAACCGGACCCTGCTGGCGCGGGGGGAAGGGAAGGCTTTAACGGCCACAACTGGACCCTGAAACTCCTGGATTGAAACAGAGGTATCAACTTTTTTGTGATTTGTTTGTTACATGTTGAGAAGTGACAGCTTTGACAAAGCTGCGGCGTCTTTCTTGGATGTTCAACCGACGTCAGTTGCGTGGTTTGAACCCCAGTTACGAGCTACCCAGTTACAACTAGGGCTTCTACTTGCTGGTTGGTTAAACATCTAAGCTTGTGGTTGGACATAGATCCTGACGTGTTTGTTGTTTGTTTCTTTGTTTCTTTGTTTCTTTGTTTCTTTCTTTCTTTCTTTCTTTCTTTCTTTCTTTCTTTCTTTCTTTCTTTGGTTGGTTGGTTGGTTGCTTGGTTGGTTGGTTGGTTGGTTGGTTGGTTTTGTTTGTCTGTGTGGTTGTGTATGTAGTGATCTGACAAGTGGAGTCCGAAGTGAAAGCTATGGCACCAATTCCGCTGATTCTGAGGCGTTGCTGGTTTTGCCCAATTGATTGTGCTGCTCGAAAGCAGTTCTGGCTCTTTTTCCTGAATAGATATTGAGATGGGCATGGGCTTATTCCCAAGCAGCTTAGCTGTTGGGGTTCTCCATTCATGCAATCAAAGAAGTGTTCCCAGTCACGAGATGGTTTTGCCACTGGCCCATTTGCTGTCTCCCCACTTGTCTCCCCATATTGGCTCCTTGCCTGTGCTTGGGGATGCTTGGTGGCTCCGACCTTGTTACGGTTTGGAGAGTCTTGTCTCCTCACTTGTCTCTTTGCTAGTGCTTGCTGACTCAGACCTGGTCAAAGCTTGTCTTCCTACTTGTCTCCCCACCTGTCTCCCCACTGGTCTTCCCATGTACCCTGCTCTCCCCGCTCGTGCTGGTGACTCGGAGCTTGTCACAGTTAAACCTCACTTGCTTCCCCTCTTGTCTCCACGCGTTTTCCTTCACGCCGAATTACTTGTTTTCCAGCTTCCGTCACCAGGATGGCTGCTTTTTTTTTGTAGGCAGACTGCAATATAGACCAGAATGTGTACCCCAGAGGTGTGCCAGGCTTCACGCGTGATTTTTTGCGTCGCCAGACTCGGGCCATCATTGGCAGCAACTCGCACGTGCTATGTCCAGCCGCTGGCTCAGGGGGGCGAGCAGTTGATTCCCCATTTTTTAGCCATCGTTCTTTTCACAAACCGGCTGTTTCCCCTGGGTGTTTGATGGTTTCCTGAAAAGAAGGATGCCTGAAAAGAATGGGGAAGGTACCCCCTACTGCTAAATTTTCTTGCGGGCGTTGGTACGGGGTTGCGATCAAAACGGTTTTCTTTGCGGGCGACGGTAAGACCCCTTTGGGTTTGGAGGGATTGTTTCGGATCCTTGGGAGACGACTTTTGAACGGACGTGCTGCGCCAGACTGGCAAAACATCTGCTGCCTGCTGGGAATGCGGGCAAGCTTTACTGGCCCCTTGTTCAATTTGTCTCAAGGAATCAATCCCCCAAAATGGTTGGCTTCCTGTTGGTTGGCATTCAAGTGGCAACCAAAAGAGGTCGCGCCTGTGCCTCCATACCTCCGGCAAGAGTCGTACACTGATAGTCAAAGAAGGTTTAGGAATTCCCTTAGCGGAGCGCGCCGGAGCTATTTGAGCTAGCCCACTCGCATGGCGTGAGCTTCGCGCTGCGTGTTCAAAGATCCCAGGCTGTGGGTAGCGCGGCGTGTTTTTTTTGGACGAGTCAAGGGTGAAGCTTTCAGGACAGAAAATATGGTTTGTCTGCCAACGACCCTTCACCGCACTTTGCACTTGATGTGGATATGTGTATTTAGATGTGTGTGTATATATATATATATACATAGATGCATTTACACTAGCTGACCAAAATGTCTTTGTTCTCCGGTGTGAAGGGGGAGGGGGAGCTTTTTTTGTCTTGCAGTTGTTGCCCTCCGCGAAAGCTTCGCGCTCAAGGTCGCGAAAATGTTTGTTGTTTTTTCTCGCAGATGTGTTGTGCGATGGGGAGAACCCGGCCTGAGGATTGCCGCGAAACCACACCCTTTGGTGCGGCACAAGCAACCCCCCACGTTGTTTGTTTTTAGTTGTTTGTAGTTTGTTGTGTGTTGTTTGTGGTTTGTTTATTGTTGTTTGTTCTTTGTTGTGTGTTGTGTGTTGTGCAGCAAAAAGGTTAACTTCTTGGAGTTTCCAAGCTTTCAGGAGTCCAGCGCAAGGTCTTGGCCGGAAGTCAGTTCAGGCTAGTTGGCGGTTGAAACGCCTTGCACGTGAGACGCCCATGCCCTTCCCTCAAATGGGCGGTTTGGGGAGACGGGGGTAGTTTCTGCTTGCCAAGGTGTGGGCGCTTTGGTTGCTTTTGGCCCTGAGGCGCCGTGCCGGGCATGGTCCATGGTTCGGAGGGCCTGAAAATGTGTCCCTTGAGCCTCTCCAACCTATGTCTGACTGAGCTGTTGCTTCGGAGTCACAACCCTGCCAAGAAAGAGTTCACCCCAACATGGATCAGTTTCAACTCCACTGCAACTGAATCCCAATACATTCAATGTATCTCATGATTGAAAAAAGTTGTATATGTCCATGGTAGGCCAACGCACCCACCAGACAGACAGAAAGACACTAATTCGGCCCCCCCTAATAATAAGTCCCCCCCTTCACCCCGCCAATTAGAGTCCCCCAGTTTTGGCCAGAACTGATTCAGATTGGGTTGTTTAGCGTTGGATTCCAATTGAAAAAGAGTACCCCCGTTGATTGCTAAAAGAAGTGTGCATAATGCGCTTTCAAGTAAGCACCTTTAAAGGGAATGGACTCCTTTGATCTGCAACAAACGTGGTCCGAATGCAACTTTTGAGCAAGACCTTCTTAAGGGAAACCCAATGGAGAGATATCTCTCCTGCCAGGCAACCCACTGGCTTTAGAGCAAAAGATGCGCTCGGAGTAAGACAACTAAGGGAATCGAATGGAGACCCCAATTCAAAAAACCCAAAACACCCCCGCCCAGGTGAGCCACAGCCAAAACCCGGGTAGATGAAGGTTAGTAAGGGGCAGTCCCAGCCGGAAATAGTTGCGGCCGCCTTTCTAATTCTTTACATGGCTCTGTGTTCACATGTTTGTACCAGGTGTTGATTGTGGTTCGTGGCCCCGGAGCATATCTGGAAAGTTTTCTGAGTTTTGGTTTCCAGACCATTTTGTATTGGTTTAGTATTGGGTAGTTTGAGTTTAGCATTGGCAACTTTGTTGGGTCGGCTGGAGGCGGTTTTTTTGGGGGGGATCCATTTGCACACAGGAAGAAGGGATTCGCGGGCCTTCAATCATGCAGAGTTGGCGTTGTCGTGTGGGTTTTCGTGACATGAGAATCACTGATGAGTCTCGTCATTTGCGGCTGCCTGGTCCGCGCAAGGTGGTAGCAAACCAGCGAGTGCATGCAAGCTATGACTTCGACCTATGGGCAGCGTTGCATGGGGCACATCCCAAAGGGAGCGTGCCACGTACCATTTTTCACGGCTGGAAATCCAGCCTATGCTTCGCAAACGAATCATTGAATCATCCGGCGACAAGCTGAGTGAAGTGGCAGCTTGATTTATGGCCGATTCACAACCCCCGGTTCCCATGACGGATAGGACTTGTTGAGAAAAAGAAGGGCTAGTTGATCATTGAACAGTGCATTGACAGCCGGATGTAGGTGCGTATCACAGCCACCGCCCACAGCCGCTCCAGTTTGCAACTAGTCCCTTGGTTTGGGTGCTTTCATGCGGTGGGCCGTTGGCTTCGCGGCTTCCTCAATGGGGGGAGCGTGCATTGAATTGACAGCTTTAGGGTTTTGAGGCCCAAACGCGCGGCTTCGGCTTGACTCACGCGGCTCACCGGGCTTGGGTTCAGGGCTATGCTATGAAACTCGAGTCGGGCCTTGGTTCGGCTGCTTATATTGTTGCGCTCGGAGGGTCGTGTTTCATTTGTTGACAACTCGTGTGTGTGTGTGGTTCTGAGGGTATACCCGTTTTGTTTGAGGTTAGTTTGAACAGATGCCAAAAAGAAAGCCAATGGTTGAACATGTTTTGCTAGGTTCGCAGTGGATCTGCAGCCTTGTTCGACCTCCATTTGCCCAAAGAGCCATCAGGGGATGCATCGCACCCTTATCCAAATTGATCAGGCAAGGCACGGTGAAAGCTTTCCAGTTATGGCAGGGGGGTGGGAGATTTGTTTTTTGGTGATCCTCCCCTGGCCCGATTTTTGGTTACAGGGTCGTTCCAAGCTGTGAAACGACTGGTCCAACCGAAGGCTACGTGGGTTGCACATGTTGTCAGTGCTTTGACTCCAACAGTGGCTCCGCTGCTTTGGGCGCCAAGCTTGGAACACACATGGCTGTGGGTCAAAACCCTGCACCCCTGGTGAACATAAAAATAGGTGGTACATGGGTGTTCATCCACTGCAAAATGGAGGCATAGGTTATGACCCATGGCCACATGGCACTGAAGGGATGGACCTTCCCAGGCAGTTGTGTCAACGGGGAGCCACATTATGCGCAAGAGGCAAAGCCAGCACACACTGCCCGTTACGGTGATCTCTCCGGTGAGGGGGGAGCTGAAACGAGCTCATCACGTAGGTGCTTTACATGGATGCAACGTATTCTAGCACCGGAAAGCCTCCCGGACAAGTGCTGCCTCCCAGAAATGTGCGGCGCTTTGCCTAGTACTGCCGACTGCATGGACTTGTAGCCTGGATCCTGCAATGCGGAGGCCTGGACGTCCATTTCTTTCCATCGGAGTCACAAAAATGGTCCGCACTCCTTCGGGAGGCGTTTGTGGTATTCCTGGACGCTCCTTTGCGAACTTTGTTTTCGGGCATTTTTTACTGCTGAGGCGTTGCAAACTAAGGCAAAAACAGAAACTACAAGAAAAGAGCTGAGACCAAGAGAGCCCACCCACATGTGGGCAAATTATCAGGATCACCGGCTGAAATGAGCGAGCTCATGGATGCAGGTCCTCTGGGGGTTTCCTAATGTCCAATTTGGGGATAGTAAGTTTCCAACCTCCGCATGTCAGCGGGCCGCTCCGTGACAGGAAGTTTGGCTTGGAGGTGCGAGGAAGATTGAAATCAAAGCCACAAGCCGAAGCTTCGGTGTGATTGGCCTGAAAAGACATGCCTGTTTTTTGTTTGTCCGGTCGTGGCGCAAACGAATATGGGAACATGGAAGTACCACAAGCAAGACTGTGTGATGACCTTGGTAAGAATGACATCCAAGAGGACATCACCATTTTAAGGGTCCCATAATTTGACAACATATACATATATAGAACGGTTGTGGTACGAAATGAGAGGGACGGGCGCGTGTCACTGCTCTATCGCAGGACCTAGATTTAGACCAATTAGGCGATTTTACCTGGAGATAGAATCGCTTCGGTTTCAAAGTTGTGAGGTACTTAAGTTCATGATCAATCCATTGACTCCAAAAGGTATCATTTTGTCAAACAACATGGCAATCAGGGGGCTTCCTCAAGAGGAAATCAGTCTTCCCGAACCCTTCTGTCATTCCATGAGTCTTGGAGGGAGGGTGGAAAGTATTTGGCATGTGGTGAAACAACCCCCAACCTCTGCAAGAAAAATAATGGCTTTCCTTTTGGTTTAATGTGAAAAGAGTGCCAAGTCCCAAAAAGCTGGCACTCAGTAGGTCCAACAACGTTTTTAGTAATAAACCTGGGAATTCCTCTAAGGAATCCGCAATGGCTCAGTTCAGGGCTTCCCTCATTGCCTGCCCCTCGAACCAGCCAAAAGAGCCCAGACCCATTTGGGTGCGACGGTGTGCCTTTTTTGGGAGAGCATCAAAGGGACCCGTGCCATTTCGGGGCGCCGCTATTAGAGACGCCCAATTGGACACTCGCTCTACCTTTGCCAGGCACGCATCATGCCCGGCAAAGGCCCGGAAAAGGGGGGGTGCGCGGCCGGAATGATGTTTCGCAAAGCAGGAATCGGTGCCCATACAACGCTTGGTTTCCTTTTAGCTTCCCTTTAATATCAAGAAAGGGAGCTTTCCCTCCACCTCCTTAGGGTAAGGGACGCCACTGGTGGGTCAGTTGGTTTTGTGCAGTTTGGGCAAGCGTGGTCATGTCAAACCGCGGCATGCCCTCCCAAGAAGTCGAACCGGTTCTGCCATGGGATTCCTTGTTGATCGACGCTGACACCTCGATACGGCTGTTTGACAGGCGAGACGCGCCACAGTCGCCTCAGACAGGGACTTCAATAAGGACGGAGTTGGGGAAAGCTTGAAGCATCTCCCGAATGCTTGATGTTTTTTTTGGGAAGGCCCTTGTAAAGTTGGAACATTTGGGTTGCCAGTTTTGCTTTGTGACTTACTGCATTCACTTGCCACACATCCAGTCTGCATCGCGCTCCAAACAACCACGAGCGAGAGCCAGACATTGCTCAGCGAGAAACGGTAGAATTCAATTAACCCTAGTTGTTTCGTGGATGCTCATGGTCAACCCCGTGTCAGGTTCCAACTATCATGTTTCTCGCGTTCGGGTTCAACATTTCAGTTTCCAATTCTGCTTTCTATTGTTCGGGTTACTGGCAACTGGGCAATGCAGCACTAGGAATAGCAAATAGTGCCAAACATCCAAGCAGAAGAATTGAACCAGCCTCAAGACAGAGACAAATGCAGAGACAAAGTCAAGCAGAAGAAACACAGACCTCGCCCGCCCCTTGTGGCCAACCACAGAGGCAGAGGTTTGCTCGGCCATCCAAAAAAGTTCTATGTGATCCAATGTTGGCGCTGCTGACCCCTTCAGAAGCCCTTTGAAACCCAGAACATATTAAATGGCCAGTTCAGAAAGTCAGGTGCATCTTAGAATTTTTTGAAATCATGATAACTGGATGAAATGGCTGGTCATACTAACCGACCCCTAAAATGGGGAGTTTCTTTTCGGACTCCCTTTCCGCATGCACACGCACGGGCATTTGCGCGCGCACGCGCGCACGCAGGCACAGACCTACTCTCACGTGGACCTCGCATGAGCACGCACCCTCACACACACACACATAACACACACACACGAATGACATGCTATTAGATGTTTGTGATATTGAAATAAATTACTTCAAAAGACCTAAAGCCCTGTGTCGATTTACGATTTATCATGACCTTGATTTTGTTTTCAATCTTTGACAGCGGCCAAGCAGGGTTTCTCAGCTAAAGCTACGACACGCACGTGTCAATGTTTGTCATTCCCAGTTCCCCCTTGTTCCTTTGCATCAGGCTTGCCCCAAAAAACGCCACCAGACCATGAAGGGAGGTTTGGGAGAAGCCAGGTGGACGGGATTCGAATTGATTCAGCCTCTAGGGGTTGATTCCCCATTCTTTGCAACCATCGTTCTTTTCAGTCACCGGATCTGTTTTTCCTGCCTGGGTTTTTGATGGTTTCCTGAAAAGATTCGGATCCTGGAAAGAATGGAAATGGAAGGTACCCCAAGAGGTTTGAGTTGTTTTTCTCTTTTCTTTTTTTTTGGGGGAGAGTCCCCTTACTTGACACGTTCCCAACGGGGAAGGTACCCCTACTAGGTTCGCCAGTAGTGCCCTTCTCGCCCCTTTTTTGGTTGGGAGGGTTCCCCTACTAAAATAGGCTACAGGAAACAAAATCGGGTACCCTTATTCTAACCTTTCAAATCTGGAGGACCTAGTTATGGTAGGCGAATTTGCGCATCTCTGGCAGAAACAAGTTGAAGGAAGTCCGAAGCCGTCTCGGGGATGACCCAGACTTTGTGTTCAATCTGGGGCCCAAGCCTGCGGGTGCCTTTGTCAAGTTACCATATCGTGTTCATGTCCAAATTCCACCACCAGCATCCGCCCACTGCTGTTTCCCATGTCCAAAATCCCGAGCATCTATTTTTAGGTTGGACCCCCACCCAAACAAAATGACTTCGGTCCCTTCAAACAACAACACCAACGCACCCTCAGAGAACAACACACCCCTCCCCCAAAAAAAGAAAGATTTCGGTTGTCCTTTTGGTTTCCCCCCAAAAAAATAAACACGAAAACAGGGGTAAACGGCCACACATTTTGACATATTCTCAGCACGCCGGGTCTTGGGGCTCCTTGGACTCCTTTAGGACCTCCACGCTGCGCGTGACGCTGCGGGCCGCAGCACTCGCCTGGCCACCCTGAAGGCGGAAAGCCGCGGCGCTGGTTTCCGTTGCTCTGTTCAGCGCCCCTCGGTTTTTTGTGTTTATCCGTTTTTTTGGTGTGTCTGTGTGTGTGGTTTCTTTCTTTTTCTGTGTTTGTTTGTTTTTCTTTTCTTTTTTTTCCCGGAAGGCTGGCAGATGCGGAAAGGTGGTCAACACATCCATTTTTTGTCAACGCTTTAGAAATGGGCCACCATACAGTGGATGGTTGCGAAATCCGTGTCGCACAGCTTCGAAACCATGATTGAAACGAGTGTTTGTTGGTATTTACAGGGAAACCGAATCGTTTCAGGGTTTCTTAGGTGGTGCGAAATGGATTTCGTGCATCCACAGTAGGGTGGAATTCTTTTGGTTGGGAAACCGTGGCAAGAGAGACGGAGTTTTGACCACACATGTGTCGCAACAAAGTGTGGCAAGAAACTGAGGCTGTAGGTGGGGCGGGTTTTTCTCGTTGGAGAGGGGCTACATTTCGATACGCAGACCAGGCTTTAAATGCTGCTACCCAGGGAACTATCAACAGTTGCAATGCACTGGCAAGAGTTCAGGTTCTTGTGAAGCCAGAGTGTTGGAGCAAGCAGTGGGCTTTCACATAACGTTCGAAGTGTGTTATTGCATCAATTGAACAGACCCGTTTTCGCTTCCAAGCACAGTCGAAATGCTGTAATTCCTGATACTATGTTCATATTTACATCTCTTTCTATTTCATCACTTGACCGTTCATTGACAAGGAGTCTAGAGTTGGATGACACTGACCATCTTATCAAGATCACCCATTGACCGTCTAGAACTAAGAATCATAAATCATATCATGTGGGACGGGTGCAGAGTCTTCATGGGTTTCAGCCTCCATTCTATGGGTTTCAGCCTCCATTCTATATCCTCTCCAATCCAATTACGATGTTTATATTAAAGAAGTGAGCGAGGATTGGAGAGTGTCCATCTCCTCTCTGTCATTCATCTCTCTATCTCACACTCTCCGACATAGGAACGGAGAGTGGTGACAGGGATAAATAGATGCGCATGGCCGGCAGGGAATGTATTCTCAGGTAGGCAAGGGAACGAAGGGAGCGAAGGGACATGAGTGAACGGCCTAAATGATGCTAATATGATTACCAACATGAAAAAGTAATCAAGCATTATTGGTCATTCACTTCCATGTTCTATTTCTTTCTCTTGGTCTTGCCCATCGAATACACCTTGAAATATTCGCGAGACAAAGGTAAGGAGAAGAGCGGAATGACAGTCAGTAATTCCTGATCTTATGATTGTCTAAGGTGGAATTACCTTGAGGACGGGAAAAGAGAGGACAGATAACCGTTTACTCATTTGAACCTCATGGTCAAGCATCTTTACAATTCGTTCCAAATGATATAATTATCGCGTATAGAGGGTCAATGGGCGAGCAGACATGATGAAGAGCGAGCCTATTCTCCATGTTCGTTCTATCTCTTGGTATCTTCGCCTGGCGGTGATTTCCCAAGAGCAGGAAAGAAGATCATGGGAATGTTGGACGAAGACAGGTTAAAGGTAATTCTCATGAAAACTTGGACAGCTTTTGTCATACCTTCCTTCTAACTCTTCTTTGTTCAACTTCTATATGCCAGATGGGCTCAGGGCGAGTCCCTCAGGAGTCGAGGCGGAGGCCTTCCTTGGCATTGGACGCTGAGGCAACTTGGCAAGGCATCACCAGTTGGGATGGATGAAGCCCTGCGAGTAAAGGGCTAAGCCACACACCGGCGCAGGATTTCACCACATCTGACATATGTGCTGCTGTGCCAATTCCTTTTCAAATGAGGTCTTTTGCGTGAAATGTGTCAATTATTTAAGGCTGCATGAAATCCTCAGAAAGTCTGACCAGAACCAAGGAATTTGCTGGAGTTGGGTTCATTATCATGGCACTGATCCATGATGTGGGCGTGCTGTGGCCTCTTTCTTGTGGGAGCAAGTTGACAAAAGTTGTGCGGGAGAAAGTTGGGACAATGTTGGGAGATGGTTGGGAAAAAGTTGGGCAAAAGGTAGGGCAAAGTCAGGAACACGTTTGGAAAGAGGTTGGGAAACTAGGTTGGGCAGAGTTTGGAAAGTCGGGAAACCGTTGGGAACAGGTTGGGCAAAAAGTTGGGAACAGGTTGGCAAAAGGTTGGGAACAAAAAATGCAAAGAGGTTGGGCAAAAGTTGGGAAAAGGTTGTGACAAGTTGGGAACAAGTTGGGAAAAGGTTGGGACAAGTTGGGGAAGCGTTGAGAACATGTGGGAAAAGGTTAGGACAAGTTGGGAACAACTTGGAAAAGAGTTTGAATAGCTTGCGAACAAGTTGGGATGAGGATCATAATGCTGCAAAGACGTTTGTGAGGGCCTTGCATGGCACTGTGCGTTTTTTTTTGAGGGGGGCGGCCCAGCTCTTTGTAGGGATTGTCCAGAGTTGTTAAACATGATCTAGCGTTTCGTGGGGATGGCACAGCTTCTTGTGGTGTTCTCTGGTTGTTGTGCCTGAATAATTTCCAAAGAGACCTTGCTCGAAACGGGCTGACTGGTACGCCTTTGATTTATAGCTGGTGGTCGGAGTTTTGACCCGATGTGACAGCTGCTTTGTTTGATTTTTCCTCAACACATACACTGATGCCGTTCGAATCGTTTCCTTCCATGCTTGTTGCTATGTCAGCCGATCCACCCACTAGGCAGGTTCGATTTTGAGATACAATCATTTGCCCGTTCGTTGACTTCCCGCGACCATCACATTGCCTTTTGGAGCCTTTTCCTTTCGGCCCCGCCGACACAAAATTGGTCGCAGAGACCAAGATGTCTATGAGCAACTAAACGTGCACCGTCAAGTTGCAGGCCTCCGGCAATTAGATTCGCAGCCCTCCGGCTTCACGGCACCCCGCAGTTTGGTCAGAAATGCTGCTTGCTCAAGCTCCAAAGTTGATGCATGCTGCAA